AAATATTTAGGTTGTAAGGGTCAAGGATTCGTCCTTCATGAAACACAGAGATAATCTCCTTTTTAAAGCTTCCTCCATGACCTTTTGTCACACTTTTGACCCCAGACAGTTGTTGACTCATTTTCAGCCCAGACTCAGTGGGAAATGTGGACAGTTGAGTCGGCCGGTGCAGCTCAAGTGCTGAAGTCATTTTTTAGGGATTACAACAAACAGGTGCACATTAGCCCTGCTTAACAAGACTCTTGTGTTTTATTGTTGGTACAAATCTGGGGCTAATGCTCCCCAGTCTGCCTGCTCTTCACTGAGTGAATAAATGATGGTTATTTCAAGAGAGAAGGCATCATTGTTTTAGGATGTTTGCATGTAAAATCACTATAGAGTCAGGAAGAATTTAAAATCTACCAAGATCATCACTGTGACAAATGAAGCAGCAGAGACCAAAGTAAAATTGCAAAAGATTTAATAGGAAAAAAGGGTGAATTATTGAAAGTCCTCCCTCTGAAAGTCATTATTACGACACTTATAATAATATTTTGCAATACTATCGTTCTACTGTGAAATAATCTGGTCAGTATTTGTGCAATAATAAAATTTACTGGAAAATATTCGATTCAACGGAGGGGTTCCTTACGCACGTTTTAGATCTGCTTTAAATTTCTGTGGCACATATAATACACATTATTTAGTGTCAAATATAGAAATATTTTACTGTTCCATTTGCTTTCTTGAAATACTCCAAAAAACAATTACCCCTTTGGGGATTAATTAAGTATTTCTGATTCAGATTTCTTTTAAAAGCCAAATACCACGAATAAAATATATTAATAAAAAACAGTGGCTCTTATGAGGCTGGATCTAACATGTTCAAATTTGAGATTTGGAACAAATTGTGGGAATAAATCAAATGAGGGGAAGTACATGCAGGCTTTCAACATGGATTATGAAAGACCTATAAATCATGTCAGCAGACATAGGTTTGGATAATAGTAAAGTAGATAAAGAGTGGATGTTTAATCCATAGTTATGCAAGTTCACATGCCTTTGTGTCCATGGATAAAGACAGGACCCAAACCACTGGTCTTTGTATTGGCATATGGAATTTTATATCATTATAAAGGAAATGAGATTTGGGGAACTTTGAGAGGTTTAAAACTTAGAAAGCCTACAGGTATTCAGAAGCCTAGAGAATTTAATAAATATCACATTTACAAGTCCAGTCATGTCTGATAAACCATGCATTTGACTTGGAGCAACACTGGATGGTGGAATAACTGAGGCACGTCACTGAGTATGTCAGTGACATGTCGCGCTCTTTCTCTTCAGCTGTAAAACCACAATTTTATCATCTATTTTATAATGGGGTATAAAAGGAGACACTGACACTGTCTGTCTGTCTGTCTGTGTTTTGTTTTCCTACACCTCCTTTCTCTGTGTGTGAGATGAAAGTGTGACACTTTCGGAGTAGCCCACAGCTATCTGTCATCCTAACCGCAGCCAGGAAACCTTGGCAGACTGTCGACACTTCCCCACCTGTCTGTACACAAAAGACGGACACTGTGTGTGAGGATCTCTGCTGCATTACAACTCAATTTAAACATCACTCCACTGCCACCTGCACACCAGCAGAATACAATGGAGACAGGAGTGCAGGGCCACCGTGACAGTGATGTTTCCTTTCATTATGTGTTATACACGCGAGTCAATCACTGATTCCCATGTGGGCACTAAGGGTGTTGCTGTCATTGCTGTACTTTTTTTTTTTATCATGAAAGCATCACACTAGCTTTACAGTAAAGCTTCACTCCAGTGAAGTTATTTAAAAATAGTGAAAAGTCATGGTTTTTCCTCAGCACCAAAGGATTGGATGACCTCTTTAATATTTAGATTGAATTAATATTAGTATATAAAATATATAATTGTACATTTTAAGTCTTTCGATTTATTTGACCTCTTTCTTTTAGAATACTGCATGCGTATTTGTAGTAACCCCTTCTGACATGCATGTCCTGTATAATCACAGTATCCGTTGTACAATATGTATATACAGCAAACCCTTGTGTCCTGGCGTTCTACTACATACCCTTCACGCATACACACGATGTTTAACCGTACAAATGTGTATTTTGTTGAAATACAGATATATATATATTCCTTGGTGACAACTCCAATAACAACATATTCCTAAACGTTTCCAGAAACAATCACGTCACACACAGGGTGAGACGCCTCAGCTGAGAATCAACTTGACCTACTCGACTGCCATCTAGTGGTCAATGTTTGTCACTATCAGAAAGACGCTCTTAAAATGCAATTTCTTTACAGTTAACATGTTTATATCAATGTGTTTCACTTACTTAATGTATGCAGATCACAAGTTATAAGATATCACTCTAATACATTTCTGCAAAAAAAGTGTTGCTAACAAAATCAGCTGCTCTTATAAAACAGTAATAGTGCACAATAAATAAATAAATAAAACCAGCTACTGTTTCTATTATTAAATTTAGTTGCCAGACAACAAAACTAAAGCAATGCCAGAAGCTTTTGAACTTTGTCCTTTGAGTGCCAGACAGATAAATCACATGGTGGTTTCAAATAAGTCAGAGACAGAGACAGTGAACCAAAATGACCTGGACTGTGTCACTCTGGATGCAGTGTTTGTTTACAGGATGTGGGTGAGGGCACTTGCACAGGAGTGTGTATGTGAGTAGTGTGTAGTGTACACTACGACACTTTAGATCAACTGTGCAGTTAATAATGTATATAAAAGCCTTGACAACAGTTCAGACCTGCAAACACACACACTCAAAGTGTTATTGTTTTAATATAAACAAAGCCTTTTAATTATCTTCAAATATATCTCTACAAAGTTAAGCTTTTAGCATTGTACCATTAATAAATGAGTTTGACAAAGAGTGAAATACAGAAGTAAATGTGATGAACTATTACATAGTTTGCATTATGTGGAGTAGTGCTATATCTCAGACAAGATACAAAATAAATGTATAATACTCTTCAGTGTACTGGAGCATCAGAAGGTCATGATCTAAAGAAGATGAAAACAGATCAATCTGTTGTCGGAGCTGTGCAGGACTGTGTCTACAGAAGGGTATGCTGATTTAAATGTGTGGCCCAGTAGCAGCTTCTTTTTGTTAGACCTCATTGTCTGTGGTTTACTGCAGCCAGCATTTTCATATGGGGTCTATTTGAATTATGATGAATGAACCCCAGAGGGTTTATCTTCAGATTCCAGCACCCTGTGAGTGAGCCAAGCTGCCTAATTTCTCAACTACACCCACATTTTTTCATGTGGCCTCCAAAGACAGTGAATTTATTTATATTCTTAATAACACATACAAAAGGCTTTTACAGAAATGACTGCAGACACGGCTGAAGGGCCACGCATCTGGCTCTGGTGAGCTAATGGCAAACAGTTGATCAGGCCCTGACATATGGTAGCATTCAGGCCATTAAATTACTGCAATTATTTCAAACACACAGAGAAGACTTGGTCAAATTTGTAGTGTACAGCCACAATGGCCTGGCATTTTGAAGATGGTGATAGTACACTATAAACACACATGAATGTTTTCATGCAAATTCACACATGCTCACATCTCCAAAAGCTAACCACACTACATTAGAGAGGACAATAGTTTATGTGCAGAGAAAACTAAATGACTTCACAAAACTCAAACATTAGTAAGGTCACACACTTTAGCCCTCTGTTCCTACTGATGAATTATTCCCTTACAAAAGACTCCAGTATTCAAAGTACTTTTCAGCAAGTTTCAGACAAATCTGCTGAGGTATTCCAACCCATTCTTATTCTACAAATCTCTCAGGCTTCCCTGGATTTCATTCCAACATGAACAGTGCAGCTCAGTTTCCCCATTAAATTTCTTATTGCATTAGGGTCAGAATTCGTGAAGGCCAGTTAATACATTTTTGTTGGACCAGTGCAAATTCTTAAGCAGTTGAAATGTATGTATTTTATTAGTAGACAAAATGAAAAACTAGCTTTGATTCTGACTTTTGATTTTTGTGCGTTATTCTTTAGTCCTACGACAAGGGTGACCAAGTCACAGTCAACAAAATGTTGGACAAAGAGTATCTTGAAATGTGGGGCAGGTCATTACGTCAAAAGTGGTACCATATTTTGGCCAGATTCGAGTAGTAGTTTAGGCCGTGAGTCTCGTAGGGGGCGCCAGAGAACTTCAGGGAAGTTGGAGACCAAGACATGAAATGCAGGTGCAGGACAACATTTAAACTAGCTGACGTACAAGAAAAGGAATGGATGGGCTTATAGTCCATACAGTTAAAAAAACAAAAAACAACAACAACAACAACAAAAAACATTAATCCGCGCACTGAACGGGCATATTGGCTAACACAATCAGTGGATTCAATATAAAATTACAGGATAACACTCTTATTATCTTATGATTTCTTATTATCACCCAATTGTCTTAATTGAATTAAAAATTAGCCTATGCGCTATGTTAAGACGTCAAAGCAACCAATGATATTCGCAAAACTTAAAGTGAACTTTAAACTCAGCTCAGTCAGACAGGCTTCTGATGTGAACAAAAGTATTAATGCTTATTATGATAATGTATTTCAAAAATAACTCTATATACTGAAGATTAAACCATAGTTAATCATAAAGTGAGTTTTAACATGGTTTCGAAATAAAAGTAAATAAATGAAAAAATTAAATAATACTTGTGCTGTGGTTGTTTCTCTTCATTTAAAGACTTTCAAATCCCCTAATGCATTATTAACTTTACTGACTAATGGGATAAACGATTTATAATGTATCTGCTCAAAACAACAGCCCTTTATTGATTTTATCTCATTGAGTTCATGCACTATGTCCCTTTAAAATCATCACTGACCAGACGCCTTGAAACAATCGCTGTGACTGTGTCGTAATTATCCCTTGTGACGTCGCCTTGTTCCGGGGATTTTCTTCCTCTAAACTTTTACCTAAAAACATTTGACCTAAAAAAATTCACGAAATCTCGCGATAGTTGGAGACGATAAATCCAGCGCGTGCGGCTCCCCTTTTAACCAATCTGTCTTTTCCTCCTGTAGTAGCGTACGGACGCATCACAGAGTAAGTATAGCTTTACAGGCAAACGGAGAGTTTGGTTTAAAATTACAGAAAACTTTTTATTGTTATTTCTCCACTATGGTACTGTAGTTGAACTTTTGCTTCTTTTGTTTCTACTTTTAATTTGATACAGTTATGGCAGCAGTTGACATTATCTCCAATCAGGTGAGACTTTGCTCAGTTCTTCATTTACCGATATTTATAAATCAAATCCCAAATGTTTTTTCTGTTAAGCTCTAAATTGATGGTAACTTGATGTTTTGGGGTTTTTTGTTTTTTGTTTTTTACAGTCGACTGTTTTACAACTATTTAACAACAATTTACTCTTTTCTGACCACATCTAGTCTGCCTATAATTGGATTGCAACAGTTTATAATTGTTTCAAACTATCAAACTATTTATTTATTAGTAATAGCCTAATGGAAGCATAAAAGTATAGTCAACTTTATATTCTGAACATTTCCATTAAAATGTCTATATATATTTTGTATTTTTCTGTTGCTATTTTGCTGTGACTTTTACTTTTTATGAAAAGTGTCAACAAATCTTAAATCTTTAAAACAACTTTAAAAGCAAAAGTTTTTCAATTATTTTTCAGTATATGTCTGAAAATATGTTTCACAGAATGTGGTGGAGAGGGTTACCAATCTCCCTCTGGTGAGCTCCACGTACGACCTGGTGTCCAGCATGTACTGTAACACCAAAGAAAACCACCCATACATCAGGAGTGTGTGTGAGGCTGCGGAGCAAAGTGTCCGCACCATCACCTCCGTGGCCTTGACCACTGCCACACCCATCATTGACAAGCTGGAACCACAGAGTGAGACTCTTCGTATAAAACGTCTTCTTCCACACGTACACTTAAAATTGCATCAGATAATATTGTGTAAACGCTGAAACTGAAACTAAATGGATAGTGTTGTGTGACTGAGTCACGCAGGAAGTTCACGTCAGGATGCTGACTCTTAGTCATGACACGTGAACCTTCACCCAGTTTCTCTGTTATTTCTCAGACTAATACAAGCACTAAAACTTCAACTCCTTACTAAAAGAGATTTATTTAAGAAACAAAAACTTTAACCAAATTATTTTATTCTGTTTTTTTAGTTGCCATTGCCAACAACCTAGCCTGTAAAGGTTTGGACACGATTGAGAAAACTCTGCCCATTCTTCAACAACCCTCTGACCAGGTACTGTCCACATCATCACACCAGGTTTCACAATCTGAGTTGACTAATCACCTGAGGGATTACTGATGACCTATGCCTTGTGTTTCTCAACTGCCTGTTACTTGCTCAATCATTATGACAACAATACATTTAATTTTGTCTGCTTAGATTGTTTCCAGTGCCAAGGACGTGGTGAACACGGCTAAGGACGTTGTGACCGGAACTGTGTCCAACGCCAAGGGCACAGTCTCTGACACTCTCACCAGCGTTGTTGAAAGGACTCGGGACGTGGTGCACGAGGGGATAGAGAAGACCAGGACTGTGGTCAGTGGGAGTGTCAGCACAGTGCTGGAGAGCAGGGTGGCTCAGCTGGTCAGCAGCGGAGTGGACACAGCCCTCAGCACATCTGAGCACCTGATGGAGCAGTATCTGCCTCTGACTGAGGATGAACTGGGTAAAAACTAAAAAGTTGAATAACTCTCACCATTCCAGTTCAAAAACAGAGATCAGTTTTGTTAACAAAAGTTCCCCTAATCATACACAATAAAACTGACTCAGCAGCAAAACGGTCACAAGTGCTGACCTCACAAATTATTGTTATTCTCAACTCTACTAAACAAGACCCAAAAATAGAGGTTATTTCAGGGAAAACAGAGCTCCTCTGTCTGACCTTGCATCACTGGTTGGTTTATCTGCATCATTAATGGAGTTTGTTTAGAGGCTGAACTGTGGAATGCAAACACTTGAAATAAACAATCCTGATCTGTTTTGAAGGATTAACAGACCTCTTGTTTCCGTTAGCATGAAGGAAACTATTGGACCTCTTTAAGGAATCACACCGTTTGTCATGTTTTAAGAAAGTGTACCACCTTGTGTGTTTCTTGTAGCAGAGTTGGAGGCGAAGACAGTCAAGGGATTTGATAGGAAGGAGCTGAGCTACTACGTGCGACTCGGTTCCCTCTCCACAAAGCTAAGGAAAAGGGCGTACACCGGAGCTGTGGGCAAAATTAGAGATGGAAAGCAGCGCAGCATGGAGTTCATCTCCGAGCTCAACTACACAGTTGACCTGGTTGGTCACCCCCAACTTACTTTCTGTGAAGATACTTGATACTTTATTATTCTTACTACTGATTGAATCAAATGCCTCATGATTTATTGGACTGAAGCTCCAGAGAAGTTTACACAAGTCTTTACTCTTTCCAGATTGAGTACAGCAGAAAGAATATTAGTGGAGCTAATCAGCTTGTAAACAATAGGCTGAGCTCCATTGTGCCATGGAAGTCCAAGGGTCCAGACCAAGAGAACAGTCATGAGGCTGAGGTAAGGAAGTGGAAACATTAACTTGCACCTGCAGTCAAGTTAAAACACAAGGAAGTGGAAACATTAACTTGCACCTTACTTATACACTATTATTACTTGTACACTATTTCTGTTATGCAACTTTCTTCCTCCTTTTAGGCAATCGAGTCATACACCTTGACCCTCGCACGTTCCCTCACCCAGCAGCTCCAGACCACCTGTCTTGTCCTCATGTCCAGCCTACAGGGCCTACCCAACAACATTCAGGAGGCAGTCTCCCTCAGCAACTCAGCCTCACAGATCTACTCAAACTTCAACAAGGCCAAGGTGCTGGCGGATCTGTCAGACAGCGTGCTCTCCAGCAGCAGAACACAACTCCAAAAAATGACCACTTCTCTAGACAACGTCACAGATTATCTGGTGAACAACACACCACTCAACTGGCTCGTAGGGCCCTTCTACCCCCGGAAGACCCCTGAACAGGGTCACGTTCCGACCCCTGCAGATGGCGAGATCCCAGTTTTTCCTTCTAACTTGCCATCCACTGAGCCACACTGAGAGTTGTAGTGTTAGAAGTCTGGAGATGGGATCACTTAATTCCAAGAAGAACTAGTGACCTTTCGACAGCTTGTTTTGTAGTCTTATCGTACTATTGACGACTTATTTAGTCGTGTTGTGTTTTCCCAGATCTTAGATTCTGTGATAAAGAAAAATTAATTTTATACTTTCAAACACTATATATTGCTGAAATCCTGTTGCTGCTTTTGAAGTTTTAGACACTTTCAAGTACTCTATAAAGACTTAATCCAGAGCCATATTTATCCATAAATAAATCAGCTACTCTTCATAACTGTCTCATTTTTATTTATTTTTTTAAAAAAACCCAACAAAACCTACATATTATCATAAATCCTTAAGAATATGAACTGAAAAAGTGAAGGTGCCATAAAAATTGACATTTTACAAGTTTTATGCAAACACTTCCACACTTTTTTTATCAGTAGTAGTGGAATAGACTCACAATGCAAAACATTTTATCAGCAAAACAAAATAAAAAGACAAAAAGATCTAGCCTACCTTAGGATTGTGAAACTTAAGAAGTACTGTTGTTTGAGTTAGATTAACTTGTTTTACCTTCTTATATTTTAAAAATAAAAAGTCCATGCAGAGTCTTTTAAAGACACTAATAATGTTATACCATTTACTGTGTATAAAGTCCGTTGTCTGCGGTCTTTAAAATTACAATTTCTATACTGGGATACCCATATTATTGCCTAAAGAAAAAAGACAAAGGCGTAGTTAATGTAACGATCTTAATGAAATATCGTATAGTTTCCTTGGTGCCCAGCTGTCTGTCTTCAGAGCCTCATCTTTGGGCATGCTGGGTTTTCTTCAATGACCTCCCTAGAGGTGGAGGAAGTGAGTGCTTAGAAAAGGATGATGTTAAACGGCACCATCCAGTGGTAGAGGAAAAAGATGTTTTTCTTCAACCTGAGACAACCTTAAAATGGCATCGACAAGAGGAGGAGGAGGAGGTGAGTTCTTAGCAAATGATGCCGTTAGAACGGCAACACCTCCACCTGTTGATATCACTCAGTCAGTACTTCTGCAGATCTTGGTGCTCCTCAACCAGTGAAGCAAGTGCTGTTTAATTAAGCAAGACACATATCTCCAAATAAATATTATGAATGCTGCCCGCGCGAAAGCATTAAACAAAGCTCCAAAGCATTATGTGACAATTTAAACTCCATATGTCATAATGTTCTAATATTACTAGGTAGTTTTGACTGACGTCATTACGTTTTTTGACAGGCTGTTGCCATGCAATGCAGAAAAACAAATCTGAGAACAAACCTGGGATTTCTGCATGCAATTTTATAATGTATTCATAACTAATTAATACATGACTATTGACTTGACCCATTTGACTATTGTTAAGCGAGTGGTCAATGATCAGGACCCTGATGTTGTTGAGAATGTGGTTTTAAACCATTATTCATTATTAACATTGGATGACATTAAAGCAACAAAAGTAAGTAGGAAGCAGGCATATATTCGACAAAAACAATTGTTTTTGTGTAGATAGGGCAGCAGTAAACTACATCTTCTGTTCGTTCAGACTCGTGTTACTACTTTAAATCAAATCTATCACCGTTTCCTATTAATAATTATATCATGCAAAAAAATTCACATAAATAATTCAAATGAGCTTTATTGTGCTTTTAAAAAGATTACATGCTCCAATTTAGAATGCAAAGCGTTTTTAAATAAATTCAATATATTTAAAGTTTAAATTTAATAAAATCCAAGTGGAATACAGCCAGATTTCCTTCTTTCATCGGATGCAGCGACTTTGCTTTGAGAGATATTCCATCAGACTCTGAAAGTACCAAATTTTAATCAGAATATACTCACTTGAAAGACGTTTGTCAGAGCTTTAATAATGACAAGGCCTGGAACTGATTTTTAATTAGATTACCGTCAGCCTCTGAATCTGGCACCAGGCCACGTCATCCAGTAAATCCAGATTAATTTCATCCTTTGACTCTTCCGAAAAACTGACCGACTGAAAAGCAAAGAAAAATAAAAAATAAAATCTAATTTTGGTTTAATTTTAAATATAGCGAAGACCTTCAGTTAACAGTTAAAAACGTTGTTGTGAGTTGTTTTGCCAAAGACCTTCAGTTAACAGTTAAAAACGTTACAAGTTGTTTTGCCACAAGGTGGCGCCAAAGGCGGTAAAAGATGTCTTTACCTGGCCTTGCGCTGTTGTCACAGTAATATGGGCAGCAGAACCTGCCACTGAACAGTGAAGGTCTCCTGTGGACACAACAGACCTGGGACGGAACCAAGACTAATTCAACATCCAAGCGTTAAAAAAAATAAAAAAATAAAAACAAAAAAGTAAGTCAAATGTTGCTTTGAACCTGAGTTTGGGTTTGTTCTGTGGAGTATGCTCAACTGTCTTGGTTAAGCGACTCTGTGTCCTTTTGGCAATGACTGTGGAAGCCCTGTATTAGAAGAAACAACAAAACAAAAATTCCCAGATATTTTACAAAATGACATAAAATACAAATGATAAAATACAGAGTATAAGGCTGCCAAAGTCTTACCTTAGGCTTCCAGTGCTAATACTAGCAGGTAATGTTCTGGTCCTTTTTGTCCCATTTGAGGTCTAGCAACAAAGCAAATAAGCTGTCAATATATTGTGCTAAGAAAAGACAGAAGAGCATCAAGTCTTATTTTGTCATATTTTCTACAGGATTAAAAATATACTTTTCAAAGATAACCTGTATGTATGAAAGCTGTGTTGTCAGTATAAAGAATATGACATGGATTATCTCCATTGAATTTCAGCATCCATTAAAAAGCATACATTAACTTTAGTTTCCTAAATTGTCCTTTTGAAAAGTCCCTGTTTTTCCCTGTATACCTTTGTAGTGCGATTTGACGACCTCTGCCCTGGCATAGACTGAACTGGAGGAGACTCTGTTGATTTCACAGCTAAAATAAAGGCACAAGATGACTGCTACAGTATATAAGAATTTTAGACAACAAAGTATGAACAGATTTCTTAAACACATGTCACCTTTTCTACTGGAAACTCTCTTGAGGGGCTGGGATATCTGAATGGATTCATTCTGTACAAAATACATTTGTTACATTCATTTGTATTTTAATTGATGCATATGATATTTTAATCATTTCACTCACCTTCATGGCAATGGATACCTCACTTGCAGAGATTTCCTCCTCTAATATGGTTAGAGTTTGAAAAGGAGAAACACTCAGGTGACTGATGAACTCTGGAGTAAATTAGTCTCCTTGATGAAAAAAACCCAACCACATCTCACCGCTTATTAAATCTCCAATAAGTGTTTTTTGAAGAGATGGAGGCATCTTCATTTTTTCTACTTTGAAGATCTTGTCCACTGTAGACAACATGTTCTCCATTCTGGCCTCCAGCTCATTCATGCGCTCTTGTGCTGTGCAGGAAATTAACATTTTGAAGTATGAGGAAAGCACATAGAAGATATGACACAGGCTTTTGTTCCATTTCATTTCATATGGTCACTAACACTAATATATAATTCCTGATTTTCGGGCTGAGAAAGAGATGCAGAGGAAACGTGAAAACTAACAAGATGGATTATGCTGACAAGAAATAAACAGCAAAAAAACTATGAGAACTTATTTATATGGGCTCTCCAAAACAGAGCATCAGAATATTGGTTCATCCTGGTTGGAGGAGTCTCACTGTTTGCATAGAAGCTTCAGTCATTAATTCTGGCTGCACATGGTGCCACAGTCTTAGGTAAGTTATGGCGTTATAATGGTGTGAGGATATTTTCTTGGCACACTGTTCCAAACTTCACGATGAAATTCATGTCTGAAATCCATTACAGTGGAACCAAATTGTACCCATCTTACTCTCTGATGCCATTCAGGTCCAAATACAATGTGGATGTAGAATAGAACAGGAGACTGGCATCATGGGAGTGCAGCCTACAAATCTGTATGACAGTATTACGCTAATTTGTCTATGTGGGCCAATGTTTAAAAAGGCCCAGTATATGCTTTGTTCACATAAGAGTAAATATGGATGCCAAAAATTGTAACATGTATAGTTATCACTAATTTTAGGAGGGTGCGTTGTGCACATGTAATATTATAGCCCTGCCTCAATTCAAGGTCTGTAGCCTCAAAATGCATCAGACACAGTGACTAGGCCAAATTTAAGTTGACAAATCAACAGTCAATTAATTCAACCACCTTTGTCGCCGTTAAGAAGGTTGTCACGGGAGCAAAGGAATATTTAAATATCTAAAACCTTTTGTATCTACACCATAGCAACATGGTGGAACACTCAGCAGAGCTTGTGGGCTTCAGCTTATTTTACTGCAAGTCACGTCAACACCGAATACGGTAAGAGCTAATGTTGGACTGCAGTGACAACAACAATATTAAAGTTCCTTTTGTAAGACGCCAACTCTTTTAAAGTAAATTTAGTTACTTTTCATACTTAAACTTCACGACACGTTTTGCTTTTTTGCGTCAGCACCTGCTCCTAAAACGTCTTTGGGCTCACTGACGCAGACTAGCTAGAAATTAAACAAGACATTTCCAAACCTTCTTTTTGAAACTGTTGGATGAAGGGCGCCAGTCTGCTTTGTCGCATCTCACGGCTCTGTTGCTCATTGTTCTGTTTATTTCCTGCGTTTTTCCTGCGTCTCAACGGCATTTTAAATCACTAAACTTCTCAGGGACTGAAGAGCTGACCTGAACTAACAGTGACCTGGTCTGAGAGATTCACCTTTCTGACGCACGTGACGCGGCAGCCTTCATCAACACTGGCGCGTTCAACCGGAAACGGCAGAAATGTGTCTGAGCACTTAATAACTCTGTTACTGATCTATGATTACTATCATTCGGGTTTTTTTAAGTATTAAACTTAAATTATATTATTATTAGTATTATTAGTAGTAGTAGTAGTAGTAGTATTATTTGATTTAATTATATTTGAATTTTCGTCGTTAGACTTAAGAGAGTAAAGTAAAATCACAAAAATAAAAATAATTTCTTTATTTAATTTAAAATAGAAAGCAAGATAAAATAAAACATATTTTTAAAGATTTTTGATAAAACAAGACAAAAAACAACACACCTTCATTAAGCACATTTACTCTTAATTTTTTACATTCCTTCAAAGGTTTTGTATTGAATTGAACGTTTTGCTGTCGGTACTCTGTGAAACTTAACTTTACTAATCACATTAAGAAACAAAATATTGAAAAGATTTTAAACTGAGAATATAGGTGTTGCGATTTTAATTACCAAACATTTTTGGGAATAACTGTTGGGAACAACAAGTCAGCAAGCAAGCAAGGTAAATGAGTGAGTGAGTGTAAGTACAGTTAATAGGTGAATGAGCAGGCAACGCAGGAAAGTAGTGAGTAATGTGAGTATTTCACCATAGTAAATGGCAAAGCAATACAGAAAAAACTTTCTACTATGTAAAAGAACAGACAGTAAAGCTCCCACACCAGGTGAATCAACTTTATTGTGAGAAAAGCATCATTACATTTAAGGACACTGGGTGCAACAGACAAAAACCAAGCATAATTATCTTTCACAAAATCATTTATTGCAGCACATCAAGTGTAGACATTCATTTCCTTTCCACAGGATGGTAAGAGATCACTTAAATCTACTGTTAACAAACATCTTCTCTGTACATCCTCTCTTTAGAGAAGATCAAATTTACAAAGTCTGAACAAGATGAAAACCCAGAATAGGTTAAAACAGGGAAAGGGAGATGGTTAGTCCTAAAAATGCCATATTAGTTTCACTACACTGCCTTCAATCCAAACGTTAATATTACAAAAATAAATAATTGAAAAATTTATTTTGTTTTGAAGGAAAATAATGTTAATATTCTGAGGTCATTTCATCCACATGTACTTGTAGATTAAGGTCAGGTTGCAATCTATGCAGTGCAAGTTGAAAATTTTACATCTGTACAAATCAGCATTTCTTTCCTGTTTCTATGTTGGTAACATGCAGGCCCTTGTCCCAACATTTTATCACAGCTCTTCCTGTCTGTTTCAGCAGTCAGTGGAATGTCATGTCAAAATATCTCAGCCATGCAGATGCAACAAAGGCTATGACAAATATCTATAAAGACAAAAACACAAACTAAAAAAACACATCCTGTCAGCACATAATATTTGTAATTAATAACAAAGAAAAAAAACTTCACTGCTTCATTTTTGGTTTCAGGAAGAACTAACTAAAGTCTGTGAAAGAGACAACTGTGACTATATGAGCCTAACAAATACAGTGAGAACTGTTAAAAACACAAACATTAAAAACACTAGACAAACTGATCACTGCGACAACGGGGCGTTGCACTAAACTGCATATCCTATTTTTTTTAACTTTGATTTGGATTTAATGTGCTGAGATCAGTAGTGTGGCACAATGTTTAGCTACTATCGATTGATTGGGTTTTAATGTGACACGCATGATGGTGTATAGCAAGCATTATTTAGTTGATTCTTCTTTAAGACATCTTTAAATTGCAGCAAATGTGGAATGTTGTGAGTTTAATAAAATTTATTACTGAGAGTCACTGACAACTATATACACACAAAGCCTCACCCCAAACCTGTACACACCCAGGGGAACATTCAATAAGACTCGAATGGAACAAAAACACAAACAGCTGATGCGTCGCAACCTTTTGCCTCAAAAAGTAGGCAATTGTGGTTTAAAACTTCCCTCAAGAAAAACAATATGTACAAATAGACAAGTGGAGAAGAGTTATTGTTATTCTGTTGTTTAGAAGTGCAGAAAGAAACAGTTGAGGGATATATCATCTCAAGAAAGTCCTGATCTCATGTGGGAAAAGCAAAACTTTGAGGTTCCATGACCTATGAGCAAACGCAGCCTCCACACACACAAACACACACACACACAAACACACACACACACACAACATCAGATATGACTACACCACAAGGGAAGCCATACACCCTCTACACTTTATGTTAAGAAAAAAAGCACAGCTAATTCCACTAGTCACTCTGTTGCTGTCCAAGCATACAGCTGGAACAGTGTTGGTATCTGCTTATCTGCTTGGAAAACGTAGGAAAAGCTGAATAAGGTCATAGAAAAAAAAACACCTATAACTGGCAGCTATGGGAACACAGCTCAATTAGCAACATTTTTCTTTGCTCTTCTGCTGTTAAACAGAAACAGTGAATATTCCCATATTGCTGACGCTGCTGCTGTTTAGATGAAAGGTGGGCCAAAGCATTTTAGGCACCACTGAACACTGGGACTGGGCGGTTTATCCATGCATTGCAGTGACTTGAGTTGCTCGGGGCTCAGTTCATCATATGCCAGTTGGTACTCCCTGTCAAAGGCCTCTGCAGGGTTGAAGAGACAAAGCAGAGATTAACAGAGAGAGAGAGAGAGAACAAAGTAAATATATCTGTGGTTAACTATGACAGGCCAAAAGACAAATATACTTACCAACATCAATGTTCTCACGTCCCAAAGCTACCAGTGAAAGAAACAGAATGTCCCTGTAGACACTCCTAAGGAAAAAAGAAAAATCAAATCACTATTTCTTGACTATTACGGTTGCAGTTTAGGTAATATTATTTATGGAAATAGGAAGAGAATGGCTGACCTTTGTCTTTTGACCCCCTCTGGCAGACGCTTGATCTCTCGGATCAACAGGTTAATTGGTCCATAGACATCGTTGGTCTGGATGTTGCGGACAATTGTGTTAAGGAGCGTACGAATCTCCAGGTGGTCTGTTGGAGCCAGTGTCCCTTTTTTCTCCACTAGGAAACAACAAGGTATTAACAAACTTAAATCCAAACTTAAGCCAACATGCTTCATATCAAATATCAGCGATAGCTCCTCCAAATGATTAAACTATCATAGGGCCATGTACTACAACAACATTTCTAAAAAACTGTTTGAATTTAATTTTTGGTTTATTCCGAAACCATTATTGCAACAACAGCCTGATAACACTGTCTGGATTTGGATCCCTGTCATGAGTAAAATCAGGTGGTATACTTACACAATGTCCTCCACAGCAGGTAGAGGGGATCTCCAGGTTCCTGGTGAAGGTTGATGTTGTCCCACAGAAGTTGGACATACACCTGCTTACTGTCCTGGGACAGTGATGTCAAAGGGAGCTGTAAAAATAATCCTTTTAGTCACAACCCTCCCTTGTGTTGCAATTTTTTAATTCAAAGAAAGACGAATTATGTGGAAAAAAATAAGACCTGCTCTAGAGTAGAATGTCTCACCTGCACTCCATTGTTGCAGTGTTCAGATGTGAGAATGAGTCCAGGTAGGTGAGTGGGCAGGTCCAAGCGACGGAAATACCACACCAGGTTCCAGAAGATGATGGGGTGCTGGCTGAGGAATTTGTGGGTGTAGATTACCTGCACAGACGAAAGCAGTTGGACTCTCAACTCTTATAGTTTCTTAAAGTTGTCTTTTAGGACAGATCCCCCATACCTGATCCCCTTCATTCTCTAGCAAGGTCTCCAGCTCTTTGCGCAATACCAATGGGCTGAGGTACGGGACAGACACAGGCTTGGGGTTTGGTCGCTTGGTGCCCATGCCATCCTGACAATCACATATATGACATTATCAGATGTGTTTTTCAAAGCAGCAGGATTAGTCTGTGTTCTCCTTGTGCCACTGACCGACATCTCTTGGAGGCTGCAGGGCAGACTGGTTGTTGAGACACCATGGCCTGGTCTCTGGGAGTAGTCCAAGCTCTGTAATGGACCTCCAACGCTGTTGCTGCGTGTCAGTGATGTCCCACTGCATTTCTGCTGCTTCCCTGCTGCAGTGTGCTCCAGTAGACCCAGAGGATCTGACTGAACTGGTTCTGGAATGAGACTGGAAACACCAACAGCACAGATTAGTTAGCAGACCAAGTGAAAGAAGCATTGAGGGGTTGTTTTCAGTGGTACTTTAGGTAAAATGTAAGCGATGCTCATGAAACTCCACCTCTTCTGTTCCGCAGGATGATTATCTGGAGTCTCCCTTGAATCTTCTTCAGGGAAAGCCGTAAGGTCTTGTGTCTTGATATCAGTTGAACTACTGGCTGCAGGCTGAGCACTGTTGCTGTGAATACTGTCTCCTGAGGCACTGGGATTCATGTAGAGACTGAAAGGAATCAGTTACAGTTTATAACAATTATACATTGTTTTGATTAGAAGTCATTAGTTACATTTTTTTAAAATTCCTACCCTGTTGAAATGCGCAAGTCATGAAATTCCACGTGCAACAGGGGAAGAAAGGCTGTGCGACAGAAAGGACAGTTGGTATTTAAGTTGGAGTCATCGGCTGTCCAGCCTGCCATGATCTCCTCATCATACACCAGAGCTTCACAGGAACGACACTGGGAGCAACTTGACATCAACACCTATCAGCAGGGACACACGAGAACTGCTTAAATGACACATTACGGTACCAGAGCAGCAGCAGCACAATACTTAGTTATGTTTGTCAGGTCCTACCTCCAGGGCACAGTTCTGGTAGATGCTGGAGGAGGAGGCATACTGTGAGGAGCTTTGCTCGGAATCAGGACCTCTGCCAGCTCTTCCTGGTGTTGGATCTGCAGACAGAGACATCAAACTAATAAGACAAGTCTTATGCAATCAGCATAAATTCAGTTTATTTTTAGTGTGCACCAAAAAAAAAACAACATACGCATTTGGTGGTTCCCTCGACCGGTGTCACTGCTGCCACTGCTGCTGCCAAGGCTGGTGGAGCTCTGATTCAAACCATTAGCCACCAAACCTGGGATGGTCCCTCGCTCTGGACTATCATCAGCTTCACGAGCAGCAAGCATGTGATCATCCAGACGGGCTGGGAAGCCTCCAGCTCTCTCAGCCTGTTCATCCTACAGAGGACATTTTCGAAATTGCACATTTTGACTTAAGTATTTATTTTCTGTGTTTTGGTTAAGAATACCATAATTCTACAAGGGCAGCACTGCCTTTAATACAATAAAATGTAAGATAATTCACAAAAATGTAAACACTATTGATCTACAACTGTCTTCAGATTTTTAAGAAATAGTGTTAATATCTGTGGAAATCTTCCACTTGCCTCATCATCAGAGTAGGAGTAAGCTGATGCCACGGCTCCCCACACTTTGCTGGCAACATTTGCTGCCTGCTTCATGCCAGATCTCAGCACATCAATTTTAGGACCTGACAACAGTGTGTCCATCTTGATGCCTGAAATAGAGTTTATGACTGAGCCCAAAGACCCCCCCTGTGAGGATTTGACCAGTGCTGTCAACGAGGATGATCTTGGGCTCCCCACGACGCTGGCAGAGTTCTTTGTCTTGACAGCAAATGTCTTGGAGCGAGTGACCATGTTGGGGCTACGTTTGGGTGTATCTCCTGGGGACGAAGTTGCAGTTTTAACTGGAGGCACAGGAAGGCTGGATCTGCGTTCCAAAGGCTGTTTGGGCTGTGGTGCGTCTGTGGAGTCTCCCTGAGACTGTTGGAGTTCCATGCTGGAGGATTTGGTGCCCAGTGGGCTTCGCAGGTTCATGTACATTTCAATCTCCTCTGCCAGGTTGCGAGAGACCACAGCTGGCATTGAACGTGTTTGCTCCTGGCTGGTCACAGACGCAGACTCGTCCTTCTCTGACACCAGAAGGGAAAGTGGATCAGCGCCTACCTCCACGTCGGCTCTCTCCAGTGTCCCTCCTTTTGCCGCAGACTCGTCCTCTTGGGCTTCAGTTTGCTTACTTTCCTCCTCTTCCAGTTGTCCCTCAGTTTCTTTTTCATTTTCGTTTTGTTTTTCATCTGCTCCTGCCTCCTTCTCTCCCTCATCCTTTTGTTCCTCACTTTCCTCTTCTTTCTTTTTATGACCCTCCCCCTCTTCCTCCACTTCTCCAGGCAACTTAGGAAGTAATGCGCTTTGGATATCTTCAGGCTCCTCATCCAGGTCTTTAAAAAGTGTTTTGGATACACTACTGGCTGGTGGACTCAGGCCAGCAGAAAGAGCCGCAGTCAAGATACGGGCATCAGCTCCCATTTGGCTGGCCATCTGATCCACTCCGTTCTCCAGGAGCATTCCAGAACGAGTTTCAGCACTGAAGCTGCAGCTGCGCTCAGCAAAGGCTCTCTGTCGCTGCTGTTGAGACTGGCTTGACTCCCCTGCTATCAGCAGAGGAGCTTCATTAGAAAGAGACATATTTCTGCTCTTACTTTTCCTTCGAAACAGTTTACCTGTGCACAGTAGACAACATCCAATTTAATTTTTTTGGTGCAAGACATAAAAATGTTAGGCTGGAATCTTAAAATCTCTTTCTTTACCTGTTTCACTATCACAGCTTCCTGCAGATAGCTTTACAATACTTGGAACAGGTGAGGGGACATTGACGGGAGTAAGAGGCTCTGCTACTGCCACTGCACTGTCCACTGAACCAGCAATGTCTCCTCCTGGTGATACACAGCAGTCCAAACATCAACAGTGACATCTGAGATGATCATAAGGCATTCATACAGGTATTACAGGTGTGTATAAGCAGCTTGTCTTACCATTATGTTGTGGACTGGTGTTCCTGTCTTCAGTGGACTGGACCATTGTGTGTGAAGACTTTACCAGGTCCTGGTGTAACTCGTCCTTAGAGCCGTAGCCTTGATCAGAATGTCTCCCTGTTAATGACACGAATGCTACTTTCTGTTAAGACCATGGTTCCTTTGTTTTTGAATGTTTAAAACTGACAATGTTACATTAGAAATTAGAGCAGTGACTCCTAGCAGTAGTAGTCTGTACCTGTACTACAATGGTTCTCTGTTGTGTCTTCCATGGTGTGGCTGTGGGCAAACAGGTTGTGTTCCTGACCATTGACTTCAGTGGAGCTGTCAGCACTTCCATGACTCAACCGATCAGCGTCAGTAGCTGCTGACACTGCTTTATTTGATGCAGCTGTACGTGGGAACATTAGGACAACTGAGTCAAGAATAACTGAGCAAAATATAGAGAACATGTAACAATTTCTTATTCCTTGTTACATTATTCTCTTTATCATATCTTCATATTCATGTTTCACTCCCACCTGAAGAAGCAAGTGTAGGCTCCTTGTCAGGAGATGTCCGGCTGAGAGCTTGTTTGAACTGGGCCACGCCCCGAACCACATTACGAACTTTGGTCCACATAAAAAGCCCACTCCGGTTTCGGCTTGGCCAAGGGCTCTCTAAGACTGCCTACAGAGAGCAAACAATTAAAGATGAGGAAGGGTCTCAAACCTCATGTGCAACTAAATGTGATCTTGTCAAAAAATCCTCCTATTTGTATATTTATCTGCAGGTTATGAGACCTTGTTGTAATATCCATATGTGATGGCATTGGGACGGACTCCGGCTTTCTTCATCTCAACCAGGACCCTCACAGCCATCACAGGGAGACCCCATACACCGCAGAGCTGCATGACAACTCTATAGCACACCTGTAGATGGAGAAATGTAGCATGTCAGGTTCTTGACGTCTGTGCATGAAATGGTATATTCTGCTTCTAAAACTAGAACCGCCAGGATTCCAAAACTACTAGAAATGCTGCGAGCGGTCATTCTGACCGCTAAATTTTAAACACTATAACTGCTCATGATACATTCCCAAATGAAAGATTAATGGATTAATTTTGTGATGTTTAACAGTCACACAACCATAAATCCACGGCTCATTGCATTTATTTATCGCAGTGCAATCAGCAATAAAACAGCAATAATGCATACGATATAACCATATTTGATTAGGAAATCAAAATGACTGCCTTGGCCGTTTTTTGTGTTAAGACTCAGGTCTAGATTGTCTTCCATACCTCATCCAGCACTTCCACCTCAGATTCCCTCATCTTCAGCAAGACGTTGTATGCTTGCTGCATGGCACGGCTTTTGGACTTGGAGAGTCGTACGGCTGCCGGGAGGCAGATGAACCACATGCTGTAGCAGTGACTGAAAAGACAGCGGGCCCACAGCTGAGGGTTTGAATAGAAGCGTTTCGCTAACTTGTAGGCCAGCTTCACTTCCTGTCAGATGGTAGAGATACAGCATATTTTAGAACATATGATTTAACATGACAAAATATAAATGTTTGTTTGGTTTGTGTTGCTTTAAATGTGCACTGTTGGCAGATGTGCTACAATATCTGGAGGTTGTACACACCTGCTTTGTTCTCTTGGCCAGGAGTGCAGGGCTGCTGGACAAACTGGCTCCTGCTGCGCTGCTGCTCAGTGCTGGTCGTAAAACTCTTGGACGGTCAAACGTGTCCAGTTTCAATCTGGGAAAACCTTTGTAACTAGTAGATGAGAAAGAAGAATTCAAATATATGAGTGACTTTATGGTAGGAAACCTGTCTTCAATCTATACCTTAACATTTGTGTATTTACTTAAAAAAAACATACGTATATTGAGGAATAGGGTCAGGTCCATCATCAGGTGGTGGCTCAGGGGGCATCACAAACACAGTGTGTTCACTCTTCTGGGATTCATCCAGCTCCAGCAGTCTTGTATCTTCTGACGACTCTCCTTCAACCTAAAGAACAGATCACATAAAAACTAAAAATGCATTGTCTACAGACAGAATTAGAACTTAAATGTTTGTTCTTATAGCAGCAAGATCAAGTATGACTCAATAAAAAAGTGTGAGGCTAAGTTTGTTTATTAGGGGAGAGAGGAAAAAGGAAACCAGCAAATAGTTTTGCCTCTTGATAAACGTGTTTATAAGGGAAAAGGGTGAATTTATTTACTCTGATACTAATGCAAAGTTTTCAACAAAGAATTCCGCATGCAAGGATATCCGATTACAGTGTCTAAGGTTACCTTAGTGCCCTTGTCGGTGATTTTATCAGAAGGGAAAAGCTGCAAAAAGAGGAAATAGAGCAAAGGGAAAGAATGAATCAGAGGAAACTATGACTTCCTTGGTCTCCCAGCAGACACATGTTATTTTAGCCAATAAAACAAGATAAAACAAAAGCTTGTTTAGGGGAAGAAAACTGCAAAGGAAGAAGAACCAAACAACAACCAGGGTACCGGGAACCAGGGGCGTGGCAACTAAACCATTATGTCCACAGAGTTGGTAATCACCTTCTCAACACAGTCGTCAAAAAAAGCCAAACCAGTGTCCTTGTCACTGACAAAAGTGCACTCCTCGATGAAACGTATAAAGATCTGAGTCTTGGTAAGTTGGGAGTAGAACTTCTGGTGGGCCCGATCTCTGCTCTTGAGAAACCCTATAGATGGGAAATAAAACATGAAAAAAGTGTTATGTTATTAATAAAATAAATTGAGTCGAGTCAGGTATTTTTTATTTGTATAACGCATTTGCACAAAACAGATTTACCTTAAAGGACTTAACAGTCCTTAAAGGACCTAACAGTCTGACATGAGAGCTCAATTTATTAAAGGACTCAAATTGGTTAATTATTAATTATCATTAGATCAGTAATTTTAGCTCCAATAAAATTAGCCCAAAAGTAGGAAAAAGGGAAATCTAAATAAAGTCAGTGTTATAAAATGATAATTTCTAAATGATATTAACTAGATTTCTCTTATTCTATAAAACCATTTTTGATGAGCTAAAAGAGAAGTTGAAGTAAAAATAAAAACAGCAAGCTTTTCTCCAAAACAAACATTAGGGATGTCTTATTATAGCCACATATTATAGCCCCCATACCACAACTCTGGTTAAGATATATCGCACCGTGATATACAGATGCCAATAAAAAATAAACATTAGGTGAAGTTGTTTAAAATGATGCGATCAAATATGCATAGGTTATAAAGCCAAGAAAGCGATAAACAATTTCATGTTGCGCAGCATTTAACTACTGCATAAACACTGTCATAACACCACAACACATACACCACGGTGTTTACCTTGTAGATCGTAGAGAGAGTCTGCAGCCGTGGCCTTTTCTGAAGGAGCCTGGGTGATTGGTTTGAGGTAGGATCGATAACCTTTCAGGATAGAGGCCATGAAGCGCAGGAAGGCCTCCTGAATTTCCATCTCTAGGGCCGTTTTCTTCTTGTGCCAGGTGAAATCGGCCTCAATAGGGGTCATGTCCACTGCTGAGCTCTCCTGAATATTTTGATGTACTGTAACTAGTGGACAAAGAAATACACATTCAGGAATACCTTTAACAATTAACTAAAATCTAACAGGATACAAATTCATCAGACAGTTTAACAAATAAATTCAGTTTTTATTTGGATCATGACGTGGTATTATAACTTTAGTTGGATTCAATTCTAATGCATTCCTGTTATTTGTACCAGTGGCCAGCTGGTGGTGCAAGTTGCTCAGCGAGTTCATGAGGCTCTTGCAAGGCTTTTTAGGGAGGATTTTCCAGTTGCTGTGTCTCTTTTCATCAGACCTGCAACACACAATACAACCACATTGACAAAGTTGTTCTGCATAGCAACAGGTGACCTATGAAGATATGCATGTTCTAAATGCACCGTGAACACAGTGGAAGGGGGTTTTTAAACTGTAAAAACTACCGCATACAGGTAGATAGTGTTGGTGTCCAGATCCACACAGACAACATCTGGTGGAGGGTCATAGAGGTCAAAGTAGCGGGAGTCCACACCCACGATAAATGGCAGAGGTGCGTTCAGAACACCTGCTAGAGAAAGCGGGCACAGGGGGATGTAGGGACACTGCCACTGGAAGGGGAAAATCATCTGAGAAGAGAAAAGATATGGTGAATACCTGGGTTAGATTGTGGCCTAATAATTGTCATAAATACATTAAAAAAGAAATATTATTAAAAGAAATAATTAAATATAATAAATAATAAATAAATAATGAATAATTAATTATTAAAATAAAAAAATAATGATCATAAATGCATTTAAAAAAAGTAGTATGTCCTAATTTTTCATTCATAACAACAAAGTTCATATTTAAATATAAAGATGGTGTAAGGTTTAAGACTGTGGCTCTCTAGCCAAGTGAGAGACATAGATATTTTCATATCAGTATCTCCACATCACTATAATGTGTAAAACAACTGCACAAAGGTGTAAAGGCATAGATAAAACATTTTAATAAAGTAAAGTTCATATTCCAGAACTAAAAACTAGTCTGTGGACATTGGATTTTTCTGGTCAATTAGGAATGTGACATATGTTGATTCTAAAAGACTGAACTGAAAAATGCAATATTTCATGTGCAAAGATGCCTCAATAGCTTAGACCCGGGGTATTCAACTAAAAGTTACTGAGCTCTAATTATTGAAATTTCCTCCAAGCAAAAGGTCTAAAACAAAGTCTAGCTCGTCTTATAGTTTTCCCGTATGTCCTAATTTGAACAATATTAATAGTTTCAACAATATTTGACCATTTTCAGTGCAGGAAATGTTTAACTGAATTTAGCAAGCCATTCGGTCTGCCTGTGGCCCTGCTCTGATGTGCTGGCTTAGACAAACCAAGGTTATCAGTGTAAGAATCAACTACCCATGAAACTTCACTTCAGTAAAGTGAAAGGCATAATGGATGTAACCTTTTATGGGTTATTTCCTCACATCAAATTTGCATTTAGTGTATATTATAATCGTGTTATGGCAGTTCAAATGCCTTAGGGGCAATTTTAACTGACAAGCCGTATAATTAAATCAGCACAAGGAACAAGTTCAACTGAAAATAAAAAGCGACTATCCATAATGATTATCTTGTTAGTTAGGTTGACAGCTAAGATGATCAGTTTGGGAAGTTCACAACTAGAGTTTGTTTCTTACAGGGAACTAACAACCTCATTGAAGCTGAATTTATATATTATTTATTTTTGACCGACCTATGTCGGTCTCACGCATAACTGTCAGGTTGTAAAGGTAGTATTCACTGGGGGCATGGTGAAGACAACTGACGCAACACTGGATAAAATAATCTGGGTGGAAAAGATTAACTAAAAACAGGCAAAACATGTTCTTCAAAAACGTGTTCCTCTTTTCTCTGGTTCATATGCTGCACTTTAGTTCATGGCACATTTGTAGCAGTGAAGTTTTATACAACACATTTCTGAACAAATCCAAACTATAAATAAACTGAATCAACACTTCATGGCAATAAAACAGAAGACGTGTCTCATAACTCCATCGTGTGAATTACTTCCATGTATAAAACACAAGTGATTCAACTTACAGCCACTACGGCCTCGGCCACTCCGGTAAGCACAGCGGGGCGCAGAGAGTGCAGAAGGATCTTGCTCTCCTGAAGGACAAAGTGTAGCAGCGTGGCGCAGTTCTCTGAACCCAGATTTATTAGAAGGGTGCCGTAATCTGCCCCACTGATGGGGAAGGAGAAAGTGAGTTAATATTGACAAGTGAGACAAATGTGGAAAAAAGGAAAAGATGGGGTAAGACTGTGGCTCTCTAGCCGAGTGGATCAGCATCTCCACATCACCGTAATGTATAAAACAACTGTACAATGGTGTAAAGGGAAAGATACAATTTAAATTAATAAAGTAAAGTTCATATTCCAGCCTAAACCACTTTGGTCAAAAAACTAGTCTGTGGACATTGGATTTTTCTGGTCAATTGGGTTATATGAGACTCACTACACAGTAAATTTGACCTGTGACCTTGCGATCATTATGTCTCTCAGTTCAGAATGTGACATAAGTTGATTCTGAAAGATTGAACTGATAAAATAATGCAATATTTAGATAGATAGATAGATAGATAGTCTATATACTATAAGAGATAGAGAGTCTCTTATAGTGTGTCCTAATTTGAACAATATTTCAAAGTTTCAACAATATTTGACAATTTTTAAAGCAGGAAATGTTTAACTGAATTCAGCAAGCCATTATGTCTCTTTGGCCCTGCTCTGATGTGGCTTAGACAAACCAAGGTTATTATCAATGTTGAAGAGTTCCAAAATGTCCAAATTTCATGTCCAGTAACCTAACGGAACTCTTCAATCATGACCTGGATGAATCCGGAACTCTTCAACCATGACCTGGATGAATCTTCTTAGACATGTTATTTTCAGTGTAAGAATTTGACCGTGAAAAGGCATAAACTACAAATAATGCAGATGTGTTATTTTTTCCGGTTGTTCATCAGGTGTATTTAGCCTGAAGAAAAACAAAACAACTGAAATGGAAGCAAAATATCCACTTTGTTTAGAAAACTAAAGCCTAGCCTGTTTTTACCTGAGGGGTAAAGGTGTGCACACTGGCTGGGAGAAGATCAGGGTGTCATGCACTGAGAGCTGAAATTCAATAAGAAATATGCATTAGCAGAAAAAAGTAAAAATATTTTTTATTACATTTGTTTCAATATAATAAATAACAAAAAACATCACCTGGACCAAAATTCTAGGCCTCTGTGGGGAAGGAAATGACACGTTGTGCATGAAGTGCGAGATGTGCCTGATGAGAGAAATACAAAAATCTTACACCAAGGTACACCAAGTCACACCTTTAAAAGCTTTCAAAATCATTACAAAACTAAATCTAGCCCATCAGAATGTCAGCTTAGAGATCTACATGGCGCCAAATCCCAAGGCCTACAGCAAAACAAAACATTTCAAATGTCAATAGCTGCGGGTTACTGCTTACTTTTCAATAGGCAGAGGGTGAGGGCCGGAGACAGACAGTTTGTAGAGGAACATCAGGAATTTTCGAAAAGACTCAAAGAAGGGCCATCGGGACAGCAGACATATGCATTTATTGGTGTTAACAGGTCGATTGGGGATCATCTTTTTCTCCACAGTGGTGAGTAGGCCCAGCTGAATCTTCTGCTTCTCACTTAACAAATCCGCAGAGTATGGCTCATAGAACTGGATAGCTGAACCATATACCTGGAGGAAAACTGATGTTAAATCTTTGGGTTCTGGGTAATTGTTGACCTTGAAGGAATCAAGAGTTGTTTGTTTGTTTTTAATAAGAAACAGAGGTTTGCAGTCAGGAATCTGTCCTACCTTTTCACCAGATGAGACGGTTAAGACAAATGTAGAGAAAACAGGCAGAGGATCACGTGTGTTTGGAGCCCAACACTCAATCTTGGCGCCCATTGGCAAACAAAACAAAGGGACCGATTCTGACAAAGGGAACGACTCATAATCCTCTTCTGGATATCGAAAAATTAGACCTGCAACGTAGATGGAAGTGATGAAAATAAGTTTATATGTAAGAAAATAGTAAGGAAAAATTAATTTGATACACAGACAACAGTCAGTGACACTCTAATACTCGGCAGACAATGCTTGCCATGTGTTTAACTAACAACAATAAAAACAACAAACTTTCAGATGCCAAGGGTGTGGAGGGAAGTGTTGTTGTTTGTGATGAATAAGCAGTTCCCTACAGGAAAAACATGGGCCAAACAGATAAAGCCAGCTACAGTGTCTGAGTGTGTGCATGTGAATGTGTGTGTGTGTGTGTACATGTTATTGAATGCTCATGATCTAATGTGTAATGTAATTAAATTATCACAAAGGCCAAGTTATTCAGGAAGCATTCTGTCTGCGGAAATGTCATGAAGATTAAACTTATCTGCTGCACCATCACAGTAACACAGTGGAGGCGTGATTTCTTAAACTTTGAGACAAAACCCCACAGAACAACACAGTTACAGTAGGATCAACTGCAGCCACACAATTTCCTACAATAGTTCTTTTTGTGTAAAAAGAATGCCACAATGCACGAGAATAATGCTGTGATAAGGAAAACTACATACAATTTAAACAATGTCCTCTGTCAAAAACATATTAACATTTGACCTACCTGCTTTGTAACTGATGGAGTTGGACGAAGATACTGATTTCTTGTAACACAGGAACACATTGGAGCCCCACTGGTTACATTGATAGAGAAGTGACAGAGATGAGTATTCCGATATGTAATGACACTTTAGCATTTACTGTTCATTAAATGCCAACTCACCATGCCACAGTTAAGATTCTTGTCCACTTTGCAAAAAGTGTGTGGTGGTATCTCGCCTTTACTGGTGATGATGACACAAATGTCAGTTACAGCCAAAGAGTTCTGAGGTTGGACGGGCTGTGAACGGCGAAAAGTGATGAAGATGCGCTGTGAGGTGGCCGAACTGTTGTTGACATTGGCGCAGCGGCCATAAGGCGTGGCCTGGATGACCTCACAGCCCTGGATGAGACGTTCCTTTCCTTCATACAAAACCCTGGCACACAACACATTGGTAGATATGTTAGGTTAGCATTACAGGACACTTGAACAAACACAAACCCAAGACCTGCATCGACGGAATGTTCTTCGCCTACGCCTGAGCACTAGGACGAGGGTGTATGTGAAGCTCTGTTTACACAGCGACGATATGGCATCTGGGCATGTAACAAGGAAAGCTTTCTAGCAGAGAGAACTGGCTTTTAATGACCTGGCAGTGTCACCACAACAACAATCATGCTAAATTCACATCACTCAAAAAGAAAGGCGAAAACAGAGTGAGCTTTATTTATACTGACTTAAGGCAGTGGACCCCATGATCACAATAGTAATCTGTGGTCCTGCTCTTTAACAGAGAAGATCAGGACTTTCTCCTCAAAGCTCTGGTTAACCTTTGAGGCGTCTGTGAAAAACATGCCAGTCATCAGAGAACAAAGTGATTCAGACATATCAACCAGCTGACTCATCTTCAAACTTTACACAAGGAATGCTACATGTCAAGTTACTGCAATTAGCACAAAAGGAAAACTGCTTTTGAGCTATGGATTGTTTTCAACATGTTTTTTTCCCCTTTTCCTTTTTCCACTTGTGTAGTGCAAGATCAAAGTGATATTTGGAAATCACTGTGCCACTATGTTGGACTTCTCTTCGCATAATTCTAGATTTCTATGGGAGAAGCAGTCGAGCCCTGCCCTCACTTCACAATACAATGTGGGAGGTCAGAACTTTCAAGTTTTGTCCTGTTGTTAAGAAAAGAATTTCACAAAAGAGGCCAAAAGGACAGTTGGCAGCATTCTCCTTGCTTGGACAAAAACACCAGAGTCCAAATGGGCAAAGAGATGGTGGGGAGCCTCAGGCTGTGAATGCTCATGACACAGAGCGGAAACAGCAGAAGGAAAAATGAATGATTTACAAGTTATGGGCTTCACACTTGTCATTTTAGTGACACAGGACAGCAGGTGAGTTGAAGGGTCAGCTGGTAAGACTTGAAGACACCAGTGCCGCAGTAACAAAACAATCCTAATGATTAAGTGAACAAATGCTTGTAGTGGCAGCAACTTGAATTCTGTCTGGCAATTTAACTCACAGTGAAACACTATGATCACGTTAATATTACTCAATAACCATGGGCACCACATCTGTGAATCTAACAGCAGAATTCTTTGAGCATTAATAATGTCTGGAGCAATACAGAAGGAGACACAGGGTTAGGAAATTAAATTTTTAGTCTCATTAAACTGAATGATTGCTGTGTTACTTCAAAGCACATATTAGCACAACTGAGTGTTTTCTCCACCCGCACTTCAGTATTACACAACGTCTTTAAGACATATGATTTTGTGGGAGTGTTTTTTACAGTATTTTATACTACAATTTAAAAGGTAGAAAAAACAAAATAAAACTGACATTATTAAGACATTAAATCAGCCAACTTTACACCAGAACATCGCTGAATATAGTCTGGTGCAATTCTCTGTTCACAGAGTCTCAATTCTCTCTATAAGCTTCATATTCACTTTACAGAATGAAGGGTCAGAGGGGCTGACTGGAAACTCTAGTTTGAGAACAGGGGGGAACAAAAAGACATCAGACAAAGACTAAGGTGTGTGAGGAACTGAAAAGCCAAATGTGGTTGCATCATCCTCAACAAACGTCACTGCCAGTTCATTTATTCCTGACAGATAAATGACATAAAGACAAACTAAGAGTTCTTCAACCCAATTCCTGATCTTACCTGATTGGGTGAGACATCAAAGACATGGAGACAATAGAAGGAAGCTGGAGCCTTCCTACCAATGGATAGGAGCCAAGAGGCATAGCACAGAGAAAGAGAGAGCTCCATGACGGAATAGTGGCAAGTGAATGAAGCAGGCAACACACCTAGTGTACTTCCTTTCAACTCTGGTGATTTTTTTCCCACAAAATCAAAGTAACATTTAAGATGATAGCCTAACCAAAGACTAGGGCTAAGTGACCAGATGAGTCCTGCCACAGTAAATTGTGTCTTCATTTACAGTTTCAAACAGATATTGAACATTAAACACTGAACATCTGAAATAAAGTGTAACTCTTTCTTATCACAGTGCCAACTATTCAGGTAAAACAGGTTGCGCAATCTTCTTTTTTTTAGGTGTAACTATCAACAATAGGTATTTAGCAATTCTGACAGGATACACAATGAAGACTGGTGTGTAAAGAAAGGATAGTGGCTCGAGAGGATTCAATAAGAAGAATCATCTTTATTTCAATTTAATACACACAAACACAGATTTACACAGAATGAAACTTGTTTTCTGTATTTAACCCATCAACATGTTCATGGGCATAAGTAAATGCTTAAAAAGGAAAAAAGGAGATTGCTTGCTCAACATCTCTGATAACAAGTCCTATCCTCTTACCTCTAGGCCAGGGGCTGCCCAAAATATAAGAGCATTAGCTGGTATTGAACCTGGAGTCATCTGCAAGCAGGGCACTAATCACAACACAGTGCCAATATTGCAGTAAAGCAATTTTTTTTTTGCTTTCTTGCCCTCGCGTTTTTCTGCTTTCTTGCCCTTGCTAATGAGAAACTGTGAACGGGGGGTGTCATGTGGTGCGACACATACTTTCAGAAACACGTAAAGAGGCCAGTAGGAATAATTCATCTGCTGCTGTGACATTCCACATTCTAAACAGTGACACCAACAAACAGCTGACTTACCCAATGTCGATGAGGGGAGCTTTCCCTCGAACCCTCTTGTAGCACAAGAACAGTTCGGGGCTCTTTAAACTCCCATGGTTCAAGTTAGCAGGTTGACCGCTGTATGTGCTGTCAATGCACGTGAAGCCCTCGGGCACCGTTTCTCCTGCTGACCTGTTAATAACGGCCAAGTCTGTGATTGGGGATTTGGGCCCGCTAGACTTAGCCTCTGACAGATCTTGCTCCAAGGGTGTGGACTTATCCGTCAGTCCGGCTACCACAAAGTAGTCGGTCACACGGTGACCCTTGTCCTCAATCATGGCTGGCTGGACCTGGAGGTGAGAAGGGAGAGATATTTAGTTACACTGAATAATGTAAATGCATTCAGTTTGTTTAAAATCTGTTTTATTCACAGATCACCAACATTTCTAAGCACATTATATTAACCTACCTCCTGTAACAATATCTAGGCCTTGGTCGAACACAACCCATATTTGAGAAGACAAATCTCTAACCTCTCACTCTGGGATAGTGGGATGGACTACACATGTGAACAAACACAGAATGCTAAATAATACTGTGTCCGAGGCAATAAAAGGATCCTTTAAGACTGTTGCACCACAACGAAGCAAACAAACTGTCTGAAAACACAAGGGGTAATGAAAGGACTGGATCTGTCCACATTCACAAACACTCTTGTCATTGTATATCACTGTGCTACTCCAATCATGTTGAGAGTTGAAGCTCTCATGGCTGCAGTGAGCCAGGGGAGAACCACTGAGCCTGGAGGAATGCTCTAAAATGTCACAGAGAACATAAATCAAAAAGGAAGAAAGTACTTAAGTACTTTAAATGTGGTCACAACTGTGGCTTAAGTGATGGAAATGTTTGAAAAAAGACACCTTCACGGGAAGCAAAATGAGCTCGAGTTACTGTAGAAATTATTTTACTAAAAGAAATGTTATAGATATGGTTCTGATTTGGGCCCTTTGGAACTTGAGAGATAGATTTCACTTCAGAGTAAAAGACTTAAAGTCACTACATTAACTTCATTTTTTATGTTCCTTATACTGTATTATGGTGCAACACAGGGAAGTAACTTATCTTATCAAGTCTTGCCCAAAATGAAACAGAATGCCTGAAACGCATGTATGTAATGTAAATGCAGCACAAATATGTTTTTTTTAGAAAGCTGTTCAAACTAACACAGGAAGTTAGTTGGTGACTTCAGAAGATGAGCCTTTTTAGAGGGCACAGCATGCGCAGACCTGTGTCTTATGAGATAAATTTACAAGAGCTATTGGAGGCCAATCGTTTCTCTTCTGGCACTGAATGTAATGATGTAAAACATAGAGGGGAATTCAAAACTCTATCTGAGAAGCACACTATAAACTAACAAAGTGAGAAAAAAGTGTACTGAAAATAAGTAAAAGATCTGCCTTTTGAAGTCCAGGTAGTCCCAGAGAATGGCACCTGGCCATTTGCCCAGAATGTGGCACATTTTTAAGGGCCTTTAAACCCATGTTTGGGGAGCAATTTCAAAGATCAAAGAGAAAGAAAACCCAGTGCATGATCACGAGCCTCTAGCAGAACAGACAAAAGTCTTAATGACTCCAACTTTCCACAAACACAACAGGCAGATCTAAACTCATAAAGTCAAGTACTGCAGTGATACAAGGTAGAAGAGTTCATTGGGGATGAAACTACATGACCAAGAAACAGCAGAGCAACAAGACATCAGGTCTGTGTATTCTCTGTGTACAAATATTAACGTTTAAACCCAGGACCACCCTTTCAAATTTGTTCTATTATTCAATTTAGGGTTTTTACTTCTTCACAGTCACTCAAGTGTAGGTTTTTATAGGTTCTCGTAAATAAAATATGCCCAACACCAAATGATGCCCAAGTGGGTTTTTTGACAGCCTCCTGGTCAGACTCTTAAAGCTATGCTTCCTCTGACTGGAACTTGCTTTAATTTGATGGTGATCAACAAAGCACTCCAGACACATACAGCCACAAAGACATAGTGCTCTGAAAAGACTTATTGGACTGTATCCATGGTTACCTCTCAAAACCTATTCAAATGGTTTAAAAACATTTTTCCCATTCCACATTTATTTCATAAGAAACTGCACTGGCAGATCTGTCAAAACTAGGTAGTAATTGTACTTTGGTGGTTTATTAGCAAGTTCGTATTTATATGTGTCTCATATTTTATTAATTGTGTAGCTTAAAGTCAAACACACATTATACATTTTACTACTCTATTCATATTCCTAACCACTACTATGGTAATAAGCTGTGAGAAAAATGTACACGTATATTTGAAATGGTTTTGAGTCATACAGTTTCCTGAAAATGCATGGTGACGAGCCAACAAAACTGGTTGTGAAGGAAGTTGCCATTTGATGAAACAATGATGGTTTGGTGACAAATTATCATATAATTAAGGCTGTGCCATTCTATTTAACTTTGTTGATATGCCTTCTATTTGTA